ATCAAAGTACAAGATTGCTCATCATGTAAAAGTTGGAACATATGTCTTTGAGTTGAAAGAAATTCCAAATTTGTCATGCCTATGCTTTTCTTCTCCATGTATTGTCTGTGAGTACTGGCATTCTTTGCCATTGCCCCCACTCTGAATATGAGTCTGCTACCCTTTGCCTCTTCCTTGGAAACTCTGCTCCACCAGCATCAGCCTTCTGTTGTTGCGTCTCATTCTCTGCAGGTGGCTGCTTCCTTTTCACGGCGGTGGCACCTTTACTTTCGGCGTTCACGATTCGATTGATAGTGTCTCTAAGAGTCATATTTGTCAGAATATCATCAACCGTTATTTTCCTTCGGCAGAGACAATCGGAGTCGGAAACAACGTGTTCCCTTATACACTTATCACAGAAACTAGCAAAGCAACACTTTGTCAATGCAGCATTCTTCATTATTTTCTCACACAACGGACAGTTCAATTCGGGTGCTATCTTTTGATCAACTGAAGTACCATTACTGGAAATCGAAGAAATCCCAGAACTATTGGAGCTCGAAACAGACGTCTCCGAAATCGTGTTAACATTTTTGAAATCAAAGTTAGGGGTGCCATTGGTGGGACAGTGTTGAATGTAATGTCCGGCCACTTTACACCGATAGCAAACGTATCCCTGTGGTGGGATTTGGCTCTTTTGATCAAAACCCTTAACGAATCCTTTTCCAGCTGCAATCTTAAACCCACCATTGATTTTGTCTTCTTTACACTGGGTGTTTCTTGGATTTACGGTTAGGGTTTCAGGGACTGAACTGAAATCAAGTCCAAATCCTCCGTTTTCTTGATGGTCTTTCGAAGCAGATGATTGGTTGTTGGCAATCTTGGGTTTTCTTTCACCGATAACAATTGGGAACGAAGGCAATCCAGGAACGCGACGAATCAAAACGGAAGAATTCGCGTGGATCAACGAAGACTCTTCCGTGAACTGTTCATCATTTTTGGCGTCGCTGATCAACAAATCGAAATCCTTGCCATGGCCGTAACGATTGGAAGCAAAGATTTCGGCTTTGAAATCATGAACTGAGATGAACAGATGATTGATGGGAAGAGCATGCATGGAAGAGTTTGGAGCTCTTAAACTTGTAATACACGAAAGCCATAGCCGTGATGGAGTTCTTGGAGACACTGTTTTAGGTTTTGGTTTGAACTTGAACTTGAACTTGGTTGAATAATCAGAGAATGCGTTTATATTTTGCCGTTGCACTTGGCTTTTGTAGAAAATAAAAAAAAAATTGAAAAACTTGCAGTCCAAGAAAGATTTAGGTTTCAGTCTCATTCGGGCTTCAATTAAGTTTGGATAATGAATTTATTTTAATAATTTTCTTTTTAATTTAGTAAAATTGTGGCTTTTTTATTTTTTTCTTAATATTTTAAATGACAAATAATCAATACCGAAATTTATTATATATTTTTCTAAAACTTTTTGAACAAATATTTTTTTTAAAATTTTAAATATAAGTATATTTGTCAATTGTAATAATTTATTACATGAATATTTTAGGAACTAATTTTATTCAATATATATATATTGACATACTAATTTATTAAATTAATTTTAAAAAACTTTTTCAATTAATATATAAGTATCAATTTTCATGTTTCGGTTATTTTATATTAATAAGAAATGTATCATTATGATTAGTCTTAAATTATCAAATTTAATTAATCATATCAAATCACTCTAAATTTCGTTTCATAAATTATATAATAAATAGATTCATTAAATAAAATAATACATATTTCCATCTTTTCAAAGTTATTACAAATTATTAATTCAACATGCACTCAAAGGATAATTGCCGACCGCATTCACCTTGGACTCATTTATTAGTTGTTCAGTGAGCATATTTGTTTGGTTGATTAAATTATTTATTTTTATTTTTTATATTATTTTAAGTCATGAATTTTAAACTCATTAGAATTCGTAAAAAAACTCATTTCCTTAGACGTCCACCTATTTTCTCTACCCTACTCGTATATCATTTATTACTTTATGTAATTAAATTGTTTATTTTATTAAAAATAAAAAATATTTAAAATTATAATGAAGTTATTAAATTAAACGTATAATTAATATATTTTGTTATAATCGTTGATATAATAAATTAGTCACTCGAGATCAGACAATAATCATATGATGAAAAAGTTAAAACTCATCCTAAAAATTCAAACAAAAGACATATATAAACAAATTTGACTGTATCGAAAAACGAATCATAACAGGAGATTAAACTACTGAAAGATCATCTACAACTACAAATCATAATCGAGCGTCGTGAGAAATTATCTACGAACGCAAACCGCATATCGAATTCCAATATAAATTAACTCGCATCCTCACCATGGCCTAGAGCCCAATTCTCCCATCAAACTCATATCCATAAACATTTTTTAAGTCCCATCAGGCCTAAGCAATACCCGAGTATATTTATTGAGAGGAAAAATTCGACTTAAGCCTTAGTATATACAAATCCCTTTTTTTTAATGGTTAGAGAAGTATATGAAAGACATTCACTTAAAAATTTTAAAAAGAAGAAAAAAAATTGTAACTTTCAACATTTCCAAACAACACTTGAAACTATCGTCTTTTATTTAGCATCAGCAACTATATCTGTAAAGTATGTGTATGTTGTTAATTGATTAAAGAAAATTTTATACAAATAATATCTTTTAATCACTTCACTATCAAATATTATCAAACATTATTTGAATGATTCATATCTAAACAAAGCTTCACAATCGTTCATCTTTATGACAAAATCAAATCACACTCGATGAATTCGGACAAGTAAACATTCACCCTACTCAATAAACTATCTATTTGACATCTCATTTATTCAATATTATTATTTTGGTCATCTATCTTTTTTTTAAATCAAACTTAATGTTACGTTTTGTTTCTATTTTGATACCTTGTCATTAAGTTTACCATTTAATTAAACGAAAATGATGACATGGCATGGTATAATAATAGTTGTAATCTAAAAACTTACATATTTTATCAAATTGCTCCTAATTCGATATAATTCAATAAACTTTCAATATTTAAAAATTATTATTAAATTAATAATAAATTTTGTAATTTGTTAAAACTTTAAAATATTAATAAATTATTAATTTATTTCAAATTAGAATAAGGACCAAATTGATAGGATTTTTATATATCGAGGATTTATTGAGTTATTTTGAATTAAGACAAATTTGATAGAATATATATAAGTTTTGGAGATTAAAATTATTATTATACCATGTTACATCATCATTATGTTGAATTAATCATCAAACTTAGCGATAGTATACCAAAATAAAAATAAAATATAATGTTAAATATAATTTTAAAAATAAGTGAGAGATTAAAACAAAATTACAATAATAGATGAAATATCAAATACATACTTTATTCTAATATTGATTGTTATTGTCAAAAGCTAACAACTTCGACTAGTCAAAGTTCATATAGAAGATGAAAAGCAGAAGGCAGAAGCGAAAAACTAGACCAAATATGCAACCTTTTCTATTTTCTATTTTCTATTTTAATTTACTGGTAAAGCAAACAACTCCGATAAACCAAGTTCATCGCTTTTCCAGTGTTGCTCAAACAAGTCTAAAGGCACACTTGTGCCTCTAAATACCCCATTTATCCCTTAATCCACTCTACTCTTTATTCGCTTTTTCATATTCATATTCACTTTTTAAACATTTATTTATTATAATCACGAGTTTCAAAATTATTTATTAAAACAATAACTTTATTATATACTACATATATTATTTCACTTGCAGAGCCCTACCTCATTTTTTCTTATATTAATAACATAAACATCTCTATTAATATTAGATATTTGATTGAGAGATGTTACAAATTAAAGAATTACATGTCCAGCTCAGTTGGTAGAGCGCAAGGCTCTTAACCTTGTGGTCGTAGGATTGAGTCCCACGGTGGATAATTCATAATTATAACTGCCGGAGGTCTTCCACGGAAGCTGCTCTCAACCTGGCGTTGGGGGCAACCTACTACCCTACCTCCCCTTACCCCATTACATATGAGAATAGGGTCAGCTAATTTTAGATGTTACAAGTTAAACAGTATTAACTCAATTAGGAAAAAAAAGAAAAATATTTTAAATGGTTATACGTATAATTATAAGGATATTTTTTATCTTTAAAATTTTATATAATTTAAATAAAATAACTAAAAAATATTAATTAAAAATAAATTATCATGGGTCAATTAGTATAACTCTATTATGTTTTGAATCATTTCCTAACTGAAATTATGTGATAAAAATACCTATGATGAGAAAATGTTGAAAGAAATATATTTCACTTTTCTGATGACTAATATTTTTCATGCATATATAATATTCTTGAAAGAATTTTAAATATAATACGAGTTAATGTATTGATTAATGTTATTATTAATATAAAATATTAATTTTAGAAAAAAATAGCATTCTCGCTGAGAATCGATAATATTATTATTTATATTATACTTTAATATAAAAAATGGTTTTTCTTATTTAACAATCATTTTAACAATTAAATTAAGAAGCTTGTCTCGTTTACACTAATCCGCACAGAGTACCCACTGATTTACCCTAAAATAACAAATAAAGACTCATCAAGGTCAATAGCTCTACACCAGCTTCACTCATTTGATTCATCTACCGTGGTCCGTGAGCCTTTCGATCAAATCTCGGCCGTCCAAATTCATCAGATTCAGATTAAGATCGGAAGTTAATGCAGGTAATTTAAGACAATTATTAAAACGTTACAAAGAATTAATTAAGACAGCAGCAATATATTATTATAATATTTTATAATAAATTTACCTCGTAATAGAACACGTTACAAGCTTTTTGAGCAAATCCAGCTGGTTCAGTCCAATCGACCAGAAATGAAATACTTACTTTTTTTATTATCAATAAAACCTTTCATGTTTTGCGTTATTTCCTCTCTCACCACTCACCCCTCCACTGACCTATAATCTTCGTTTCAAACTCTAAACTTGAGACAACTTCACTTCCCCTGCTCTGTGTGCTTCTCTCAGGGCAGAAATGGCGAAAACTAGCTTCTTGAACCCACTTGTTTTACTCCTTTTTCTGTTGTGCTCTCTTGTCCAAGCTATTCAAAACCCTGATTTAAAGACATTAATGGATTTCAAATCAGCGGCAGACAAGTCCAACAAGCTAGCTTCGTGGAACTCAACCGTTGACGTATGTACCTGGACCGGGGTCACTTGTTTCCAGAACCGAATCTCTCGGCTCGTCCTGGAAAATCTCGACCTCACCGGCTCTTTCGAGCCCCTTGCTTCGCTTACCCAGCTTCGAGTACTCAGTCTAAAGCAAAATCGTCTCTCGGGTCCGGTTCCCGACCTTTCTAATCTCACTGCTCTGAAGCTCCTGTTTTTGTCCCACAACGAGTTCACCGGTGAGTTCCCGGCTTCGGTTATCTCGCTGTTTCGGTTGTACCGTCTCGATCTGTCGTTTAACAACTTTACCGGTGAAATCCCCGTTACTATCAACCGTTTGACTCATCTTTTGACGCTCCGGCTCGAGGAGAATCGGTTTTCAGGGCCGGTTTCTGGTCTCAATCTTCCGAACCTCCAGGACCTGAACGTTTCTGGTAACAGGCTTTCAGGTGAAATACCACAGTCTTTGTCGAGTTTCCCAGTTACGGCCTTTGGTTTAAATGCAGCTCTTTGCGGAGCTCCATTGGAAAAATGTAAGAGCATTGAGAGTAAACCGACAAAACCCGGATCGGACGGGGCATTAGCGTCGCCGTTAATGCCAGGTCGAAACCCAACTGTTATAGCTTCATCCCCAAGCTCATTGCCGGCGACTGGAAACCCCAACAAAACTCCAAACCCTCAACATCAGCATAATGCAGCCAAAATAAGCCCATTGGCTTTAATAGCGATTATTTTAGGGGATGTTTTGGTTCTGGCTTTGGTTTCTCTCTTGCTTTACTGTTACTTCTGGCGAAACTACGTTACGAAAATGAGAGAGGGGAAGGGATCCAAGGTTCTCGATGGAGAGAAGATCGTTTATTCCTCGAGTCCATATCCGGCACAGCCGGGTTTCGAGAGGGGAAGAATGGTGTTCTTCGAAGGGGTTCGGAGGTTTGAGCTGGAGGATTTGTTGAGAGCTTCGGCTGAAATGTTGGGGAAAGGTGGGTTCGGTACGGCGTACAAAGCGGTGCTCGACGATGGAAATGTGCTGGCCGTGAAGAGATTAAAAGACGCAAACGTAGGTGGGAAGAGAGAATTTGAGCAACAAATGGAAGTTCTGGGAAGGTTAAGGCATCCCCATTTGGTTAGCTTGAAAGCCTACTATTTTGCCAGGGAAGAGAAGCTCTTGGTCTACGACTTCATGCCCAATGGTAGCTTGTTTTGGCTACTTCACGGTATGTTTCACCTGCTTTTTTTGCATTAGTTTCAAGTTCATTTCATACAAAATCAATGAATCTGGTTGTTGTTGCGGTGGGTGGGTGGAAGTAACTACCCTCACCGGGCAGATATATTTGTGGGGTTTATGGAGATGGTTGATGGGTCACTTTCTCGTAAGTACAGGCAGTTTGATTACAGCATTTGCTTGGATAACTTACAAAACTTAATTTGGTGGTTGAACATGAAAATTAACGAATTAATAATAATGTCTTCCCCCTGTAACGTGAAGCTTGAAGAAGATTTGACCCGTTAGGGCTCCATCTCCGGTAGACAATAATGTCTTCTTTTTCCTTTTTCTTTTTGTTCTTTTCCCAATGACGAGCCTTTGGCCTTTTCTTTTTGCAGCGAATATGGCCAAAAAGTAAAACGATAGACGCCGTTTGATCAAAATCATTATTAGTTCATCATCCATCGCTTTCTGATATGGATTGGCCCAACTGATATATATATTCCATATTACTTGCATACAAATTTCCAGGATCACGACCTTTGTTCTGTAGTATAATATTCGTTGTTGTTTTTCCCTACAGGGAACCGAGGACCGGGGAGAACGCCGTTGGACTGGACTACCAGGCTGAAAATAGCAGCCGGAGCAGCTCGTGGCTTAGCTTTTATTCACAATACATGCAAGACTCTTAAACTCACCCATGGTAACATCAAATCCACGAATGTCCTCCTCGATAAATCAGGCGATGCACGCGTGTCGGACTTTGGACTCTCCATCTTCGCTTCACCCACCAACAATGCCCCGAGATCAAACGGCTATCGTGCGCCGGAATTATCATCCGATGGCCGGAAGCTCACCCAGAAATCCGATGTGTACTCGTTCGGTGTCTTGCTACTCGAGATTCTGACGGGGAAGTGCCCTTCTGTGGTGGATAATAACGGTGGCGCGGGGTATGGATACAGCGGGCCCGTTGATTTACCCCGATGGGTACAATCGGTGGTGAGGGAGGAATGGACGGCGGAGGTTTTCGATCTGGAGCTAATGAGGTACAAGGACATCGAGGAGGAAATGGTTGGGTTATTGCAGATTGCAATGGCTTGTACTTCCGCTTCTCCTGATCAACGGCCTAAAATCGGTCTCGTGGTGAAGATGATCGACGAGATTCGTGGGGTGGAGGTCTCACCGTGTCATGATGAGGCGGTTGACTCTGTGACCGACTCACCATACTTGTCTGAAGCCACATGCGGCGCAGTTAGCCAGTGATTTCTTGCGAGTTGATGTAAAATCTTGGTTTTGAAGTTTTAATGTTAGTTTTCTGCTCATTGAAGATATTAAGACTTGCACATATTTTGTGTGCTTTGGTATTAGCAAATTGATTTTTAATGGGTGGCAAGTAAATTTTAGTATTTGATTAAAATGGGATAAAATAAATAATAGTGAGCTGGCAAAGAGTTTTAGAAAATTCTGTTGTATGGATTAAGAATGAAATTAATATTAAATAATACTATTGGATTATGCTGCCAGGCTTTGTATGGATTAAGAGAAAAATTAAGGCCAGTGTTTCTCTTCTTTAATCACTAATTTATATACTAAGGGTGATGGAGAAATCGTTAGACAATTAATGTATGAAATATTCTATATTTATTTTTAATAAAAAAATATTTAGGTCTTTAAAGTTAACTTAAGGTATAATTTAAATATATATTTTTGTATTAAACTAAATTTTAACGAAAATCTAGAAGTTTAGAAGATTAACTATTTTATAAATTTTAACAATCGAGAGATTCAATCAAACAATATCTTATAATTGAGAAATCATTTTATAATTTTTAATAATTGAAAACTCAATAAAAACGGGCTATATTCGATAATCATTTATATACTTTACCCCTATATCTTTTCCATATTACTACATTTTTTCATTTATCTGTAGTTTCTTCAAAATCATTTGAGGAAAAAAATTTTGATATTTGAGTAAAGTGCCTATCCGCATCGGCATATACCTATGGGACAAGATCTAACCATAGAAAGATACTGGTTTCGCCGGAATTATTATCGACTTTACGAAAAATAGGCATGTGGATCTCAAGATTTTCAACATTATATTAACATACATTGTTATTTTATATATTAATAGTGTGACTAGTGAGGTCTTTTTTTTAATTTTACGCTAAACATATATATATATGATGATATTTAGATTTTATTTATAAAAATAATGAAAAGAATTAGAATTACAATATACTCAAGTATAGAGAGAAAAATAAAAACAATAATTATAAAAAACACACATAAAATAAAAATATTAAACCCAATGATTCGAAGAAAAACGAAACATTATCTCGAGAATGATGTTCAACATCAAAATAACTCATTAACCTTTTACAAAACTCCTTATATCTGTCGAATGATACGCTTTATGAAGTGATAAAGGAGTGGTGAGCGAACTAAACTATATGACAGACTGCTTCGTTAAATGATTCTAATTATATCAACAAACAACATTTTACTAAATAATGGATTTATCTATACATGATCATTGTCAAACTAATCAGAAAACAAATAACATGAGAATATTTGTTCTATCACCAAAATGATCGTAAATGTATGCAAAAACATACCAAAAGCCATAAGAAATATGCTACAAGAGCAAAGAAAAAACATTCCACAAGAGTAAAGGAAAATGTGTCACAAGGACAAAAATTCTTATTCAAAATTAAAAAAAAAATCAAGAAAAAAAAACAAAGGATATAGTATGAAAAACAAGAGAAAAAAATTATTAACGATCAACAATCAACATTTAAATTGATATTGTCATTAACTAAATAAAAAAATAAGATGATACAAAAATATTAAGAGAAATCTTGAATTAAGGAAAGATGAAGTTTTAGGATTTTTTTACACTAAATATTTATGAATAATAATGTGTCTATTCTTGTACATAACAATTAAAAATGCGTGGCAGCTTTCTTATTCTGTGTGTGGATTAATAGTTAAGACTCATCGCATGCTAAAAAAAATAACATGAATATAATATTAATACATAATCATATAAAATTTATTGTTAAAAATAGTAATAATATTTTACTTGGGAAAAATAATGAGTATTACATGATAAATTTTTTAAGTGAACATGATAACATTTTTAAATGAAATTGTATATATTACGTTATTTATATCAAATCATGTAAATTAGATATATTTTTAGATTAAAACAATAAAAAATATAATAAGTTGTAAGTTTTATTCAATGAAAAATTCATGTAACATTATAGCTTGTATTTGATTATTTTATCAAATATGTAATTTTGTATCTTAGTATATAAATGTTTTACTCAAAGTTAAGAATATTTTATATATCTTAAAATTTAAAATTATCTTTTGTTTTTGTTTTAACTTATTAAATATATTTTATTTTTATTTTTTTTATCTAAATATTAAAGTGGATATGATAGCATTTTCAATTGAAACTGAAAATATTATATTGTTTATACTAAATGATGTAGATTAAATAATTTAGGTTAAAATATAAAAAGATACTATCGGTGGTAAATTTTATTCAATTGAGAAACACATGTAAGATTCTTTGTTGTAATTGGGAATTTTATTAGATGTGTAATATTTTAGAGTAGACAGAGTGATATTTTCAGTTAAAACCGACAATACTATATTATCCATAGTAGATAAAATAAATTTTCAGGATAAAACGTAAAAATATATTATCAGTTGTAAGTTATTCAATCGATAAACTCATATAACATTATAGGTTGTAACTGAGATTATTACCACATATGTAACTTTTTAGAGTGGACATTGTAACATTTTCAATTGGAATCGAAAGTATTACGTTTTCACACTAAATCATTTAGGTCAGATAATTTTTCAGGTTAAAATGTTAAAAGATACAATCAATTATAAGTTTTATTCGATTGAGAAACTCGTGTAACATTATAGATTGTCATTGAAATTTTTACTAAATAGGCAACTTTTTAGAGTGGACATAGTAACATTTTCAGTTGGTACCGAAAATATTACGTTGTTCATACTAATTCATGTGAATCAAATAATTTTTCAGGTTAAAACGTAAAAAGTTACCATTAGTGATAATTTTTATTCTACTGAGAAACTCATAGCATTATAGATTGTAACTGAAATTATTATCAAATATGGTTTTATAGTGAAAATGGCAATATTTTAGTTTGGAACTGAAAAATATTACGTTATCCATATTAATCATGTTAATCATATAATTTTCAGGTTAAAGCTTGAAAAGTTATCATCATTGATATTTATTCAATTGAGAAATTTAGGGTATGTTAGGTTTTAGAAAATATAGTCTATTTTCATTTTTATTTTCTTAGAAAATAAAAAACATTGAAGAAAACGTCTTTGATTGTAAAATTATAAAATGATTTCTGGAAAATAAAAACAAAAATAAGGAAAAATATGAAAATATAAAAAATACATTTTTAAGTGTTTTTATTAAAATTGTTTTGAAAAATTAAAAAAATAAAAATATTATATATGGATTTTTAACTTAACTTACATGAGTTCAAGTCCTTCTAATAAATTTTTTGGCTTAATGGTATCTGAAACCCTCAAACTTTTATAAAAAAAATTAATATGGTTCCTAATTTTTTAACACTTAACGTGGTCCTTAAACTAATTTTTTTTAATAATTTATATATTTATTGTATTGAATATCTTAATAGTTGTTTATATTTTATATTTTAAAGTTAAATAATTTCTTAATTTTTCTAAAAGATTAAATAAGTTCTCAAATTTTATAAAAAAATCAACTATACTCTCGAACTTAGCCAAAAAAAAATTAAGCCCATTTATCACATAATTCTCCATTGTGTACTATCATAAAAATATCGTGAACTATAACATCAATATTGTATATTGTTGTGTAAGCTTTGTGAATTGTCATCTAAACGATGTAACAGTCAATGCTTGATTCCATTATTTAAAAGGTTATATTGATTTTTTTTCTAAATTTAAGAGTCACACCAAGTGCAAAAACCATTTAGGGACTACACTAGTTTTTCCCCAAAAGTTTGAGGACCTCAATTACGACTAAACATATTTTTATTTGAATGACACTTTTGTGTGCTTTTGCTTACAATAATATTTTTGTTTATTTTTAAAATTTAATTGATGTCCAATATGCATCAACAATATATTCTTATTATAAACTAAAATAATTTTTGTGTTATGGAATTTCTTATCAACTTTATTGTTTTATATTTGCATAACTCACATATCAAATTTATGTAATAATTATAGTTTAGTTTAATTATTTATTAACTATTTGTTCATTTTTATTTAACAATTTTTTATTTTATTATTTTTATTCAAGTTTTCATTTATATTAATTAAATATGCTTACTAATTTTCAAAAAACTGAAAATGAAAACTATTTTCTAAAAAAAATTATTTTCTAGAAATAAAAGGATACTTATATAACATTTTTAATTGCAAATAAAATACTTGCTAAATATATAATTTTTTTAGAGTTGATAGAAGAATGTTTTGAGTTGTATAAAGTAACATTTTGAGTTCTATTAATTACCTGTGGAATCAATCACATTACAAATTAACCTTATATTTCATGCCACACAGAAGAACATTTGTTATATTATGTCCTTATATAACATTAAAATTATTTATTTAATATTTAAATTTGTTGATAAATTTTGAAGAGATGGTATTTGATATTTTTACGTGTAAAAGTAAATTATTTTAATTTAAAAATGGGTAAATTATACTGTTCTTCACTAAACTTTACTCTCTCTCATATTTTTCTCATTGAACTTTCAATTTTTTCAATTTGCTCACTAAACTTTACATATTAAATTATTTTGCTTATTCGACCGTTTTCTCTCTAACAGCCGGATGATGTGACTTTTTCATTAATATATATGATTATATATATATTAACATTTAATTATAATGTGTAATATTTAAAAGATAAAAAAATTCTTAATTTTTACACTAAACCCTAATCCTAAATTACAACGTCACCCTCCCACCTCCACCCTACCCATACCATCTCACCCTCCCACTGTAATTTTAAATCCATTGAAGGTGAGTTTAAAAATGCAAAGAGAACAACAAGTTTCAATTATGGTAGGGATAATTTCATGGCTAAGCAATTCAACAATTCTCATGATCAATTGTTACTATTAATTTTTTTTTAAAAAAAATAGAAAGAACAAATTCATGCCACTACCCAGAACTGAAATCAAATAATTTCCATGAACAAATTCATAGCAAGTGATGGCTTTAAAAGTAGAAAGAACAAATCAACTAAATATAAGAGGGGAATCCAAAATCATGCCATTGCCCGTCAAAGAAGAACCCCAAGTATCCAAAGACTGCAATGACCATTG